CCACAGCAGTGGCATACAAGTATACCACAGCAGTGGCATGTGCCCAGGGGTTCTAAAATTAAGCCTGTTCCAATCAACCATTTAGTGGTGGCAAGGCCCACAGAATCCCGAAAACGAAAACCTGTCACATGCCAGATTGACTTAGATCAAGAGTATGTGAAATCCTAGATAATTTTTTTTCTTTTCTTGGCCATTGCATTTTGCACTTGTTTACTCAAGATGCAATTCAAGATATTGTAAAACAATATATATATTAGTGTTGGCAAATCGGACTATTTTTAGTAACCGGTTACTCGCTTCATCTTCCGATCGAGTACCCGGTTTCTCGGATGATTTTTCGTAAAAGTTTCAATATCTATTATTTATCTTATTCTATACTTATCGGTTGTAGTAATGCACAAATATACTGTATAGGGACATTATATTTACAATACACACGTAGGATATCGTCAAAGATTTACGATTTTAAAATAAAGAAAATTAATAGGGAATTCGACACACAAAGACAAATAATTACGTGATCGTTAATCACCATTTTACACTTTCTTTTTCAGCCCCCGAAATATGTCGCAATCAATGAGAATAATGATTTACATACTCCATAATTAATAGTTAATATGTGGAGTGTCCAGTAAATCGCTGATTTCCGAATAATTTGAGCTTAGGTGATTTAACAGATTTTGAATCAGCTGTTCTTTTGTTACAACTCCAAGCTTATTATGTCTGCGGCGGCATCTCGTTAAATTATCAAATGAGGTACATGTAATTATAACTCAGGCCTTCAAAATATGTATACCCCAAGCAATCAAAGCTATCAATTATATAAACTGTGAAAATTAATCAAAACAATTTGATTCACCACAACCATGCACTAGATCAAGTCTAACGGTACCTAAAATTCGGGAAATGTGTAAGTTAGTATACATTTATGAATTATAAAACATTAATTTTCTATGCCTTTACTATGTAGAATTTATTTTATCCGAGTAACCGAATAGCAGTTTTACTAACCGATACTCGCAACGTTCGACGGTTAACCGGTTAACCGGGTACTCGTTGCCAACACTAATATATATACATACATATTAAGTTGAATGATCAGTTTTCATTATAAGAAAAATAAAAACAAATCTTGATTCATTTATTATATTTTAATAATAGACTTCCCAAAGTGTCCACAAGTGACATAAAGCAGCTGAGTTTGTTAAAGGGAACCCCTCTAGAGTATACAATATCAGCAGATCACCCACTTGTAAACACCCCTCTTGGTGATGTGCAGATAGGCTCAATATTGTCATATCAGGTACAAAAATTATTACATTAACATATGTATTGAAAGATTACACAGATTACAGAATTGGGGCATCACCTGTACAAGACTATCAATATCATATTATACATATTAAATTGTGTATATAAGCTACCCCTGACTTCTTCTCGTTGGCTAAAAACTGCTCTTTATACATAGTAAGCATTCAGTTTCTTCAACATTTCTAACAGAAAGATGGTCACAATTTGATTTTTTCCTGTAACAATTTACATAAATAATGTTATTTACTACAATTTTTACTGTCTGTGACAAAAACATCATGGAATAAAGTCAAGTGACAACATACAGACCAAATTTTGTTAATGTTTTTAAATAATGATGTAGGAATGCGAACAGAGAGCATTTTGTAAGTTTTAACCTTTGCGATAAGTCTTTCAATGTGCACACGATGCTTTGCAATCTTCTCAGTAAGCACAGTGTCTGAAACTGACATCTGGCATGTTGATGAAGCCATTGGTGGAATATTCAATACCAAATTTAAATTACTTAATTCCTCTTTAATAGTGAACCCTTTATCAGCCATAATAGCATCCCCATCTTTTATGTAACCTTTTAATTTTAGTGATTCAAGAACATTGTAAAATCCAGACTGTTCACAAATTTGTTTATCTGATATACATCCTGTAAACAATTCTGATGCAAAAATCACAGAACCATTTGGATCACAACCAATTAAAGCTTTCAAAGTAGTACTAGACTTATAATCACTGTAAAGCTGACTTTGCAAACCAAGTGCACATGGTGCTTGTGTTCTAAATTCAGTACCATCAATAATTACCAAAGTAGTGGGGTAATCATTTTTAAAATCTTTAGGCATGTTATTTATAATTATATCACGATGAGGCCAAATACAAAGTTGACCCAACTTAAAATACATCAATGAAATCCAAGTATTAAATACAATTCCAGATGACTCCAATGATAGTTTGAACTTAACTGACAAATCTTTCAAACCAAAGTTATGTCTCAGTCTACATAAAGTTAAAAAGAGTCCATCTTGCAGTGACAACTTTTTAATGTCTTTTCGACCTTTTTCATAATTTACTGATGATTCATCAGAGACTAAAAATGCCAAAAGACCAGCAAATCTTATATATACAATGTCAGTGTAATATTTAAACAAATTTTTCAATTTTCCCTCTCTTCTTATCACTTCGTCGACGCCAAATGATGGCTTCTGATCGTCGCATGATAGTTTGTCTTTAAGTTCCTTTATTTCCTCTTTCAGAGTGCAGATTGTAGCTTCGTACTGCTTCTCTTTTTCTCTTAACACATGTAGCTCAGTGGCCATTGCAAACATCTCAAATGGAGAAATCCCTAAAAAATAAAAAATTTATTTCCATCTGTTTCTTACTTACACTTCAGTTTTATACATAGTGGAGTTTTTTTTCAGACAAATAACATTAAGGAGGTTGAGCCACCCATGTCAGATGGTTGTGGCAATACTGATGTATTCCACCCAGCCCCTGTACCATTGCCACAAGAGTATATGGATTTGAATTTGAAATACAAAGAGTGTGATCCCATTAAAACTGAATTGTATACAAGAGAACAAAGTGATTCAGCACAATGGTACAATGAAAGAAAGAATCGTTTGACTGCATCTAATTTTGGGAAAATTTTGCAAAGAAAGTCGACCCCTAATGACAAGTTTCTTGGAAGCATATTTAACATTAAAAAGATTTCCGCTCCTTCCCTAGAATATGGTAAAATCCACGAAAAGGATGCAAAGTCTAGATACTTAAAAGACTTTCCAGCTAGGCACATCCACACCTGTGGGCTAGTTATTAACAAGGAATTTGCCTTTTTAGGGGGCAACTCCCGACGGTAAGGTGTGCGACAATGGTCACTGTGGTCTTATCGAAGTAAAATGTCCATATTCTGCAAGGAATATGACAATTGCGGAGGCATGTGAGAATGTGCGAGATTTCTTTCTGTGTAAAAACAATGAAATCACATTGAAAAAAAATCATGCACATTATGCACAAATTCAGGGACAGCTCATGATCACAGGTTGTGCATTTTGTGATTTTGTTGTTTTCACACAGAAAGATATCTTTGTGGAGAGAATACAGCCCGACCTTCCGTTTATGACCACTATGTTGGAAAAATTGTGTGTTTTTTTCAAAACTTACGCAGAGCCGTTTCTTGCTAAACAAACAGTACAAAATTAAGTTAGGTAACTTGGAAATTTTTGAATGCTTACAAGGTTCTTCTGTTTGTACAGATATGTTGTTACCACTGTTAGTGTTGTTTGATGTTTCAGTTTCTGTTGTTGAGTTCACATCTTCTCCTTGTTCTTCTATATCTGTTGTACTATAAATAAAAATAATTACAAAAATATGGATAAAGAAAGATTCTGGTTTTTGCCTTGTAATGACCAAAATCTACTAGCTGACTAATGGCAAATGTAGTGTGCATGAAGTTACCAAAATGAAAAATTTAGAAGATTAAAGTAATAAACATAAATTTTGGTACATCACACGAGATCACCTGAGACCTAAAGGTCTCTGGTGTAATTTGCAGCAACTATTTTAGATGTTAAGTTTTTTCACTCTTTGATGGTACTAAGGAAATCACTTTAACAGTATGGTAGTTCGTATACTTTACGATGGATATGTCGTGATTGACATGATGGAATCAAGATTGTCAATTTGTGGGTTTTTACCTTAGAAGTCTTTTTTTCTTAGACACTGGGTTACTCTCTGTGAATGTGCTAGTCCGTTTTGGAGGTGGCCTGGTCGGTCGAACAGCTGATCCATCAGCTTGTAATGGGTCAGGAAATTCAACAGTTGGTCCATTACCTCCCACAAAATGCTGTAAATAATTCAGTTACATTAACCTCAATGACAAACAATATGGTTTAAAATTCATTAAGTAAATAAACAATAACAGCAAAACACACATAAATATCACCGTTTTGAAAAAGCCTATATAGGAAACTACAACATACACATACAGATATCAATTACCATCTCTTGCAATATGAATAAAATAGCCCAATTTTACAAAGACGTGTAATATCGATGCATTCCGAATTTGCACGGTATGCAGCATCATGAGCATGCAGGTGGTATATTCCTGTAGTTCTCGGCCAAAAATTGTCGTGTATACAGCTACTATTATAAGACTCAGTGTGCACAACAGTCATAAACATTAAATTATAAACAGCAGTACCTTTGAACAAACAGCTTTGTGTTTGTTTATTCTCTGAATGTTCAACTGTTCGTGTGGACGTCCGCAAGCTTTGATCCACCGAAGACATTTCTGGAGATTTGTTTTCGGTTTGGGGAACAAAATAAGCTTAACACCGTTCTGTAACCTCTCAGGATATCTCTCGTCAACATTACACGTCCCCACGCACACCGCAATACCATTTCTTAACAAAAACTTAAACTTCCCACACCTTGCCCAAGGTTTGTTTGTGGGACAACATGGCGGCCGATCGAAGCGCTTCTCTGACTAATTATACGGAACAATCTGATTGGCTAATAAAATTAGTTTGATTGACGTGTCGGAACTATGAATTCTCGATATATTGAAAACTTCTAACTTGTCCAAACTATCATTCATTTTTTTTTGGATATCCAAGCCCAAGGGATTGTTTTTTTTTTAATTTCTTTTAAATAATGATCCTTCATTGAAGATAAGAATTTTATAAAATTCTCACCGATCCCATTCGCTGCCCAGATGTTGCGATCATCGTTTCTGAGGACTTGTTTGTACATAGCCAAGGCTCTCTCCTGGTGACGCTTTTCCTACAAGAAGATATGATTATATTAGCCTGTTTGTACCAAGCTTATCATCTCTGTTAAACTAAAACAAATATCTCTGTTTAACATTTCTAACTGTGATTTTAGGGCTTAAAACATAATACTGTTACTTACAAAGTATTACAAATTCACCAAAATAACTGAAACTACTTTTGCAAGTATGTAGGGCATATATCTATCAAGAACTTTTAAAAAATCCTCTCTAATATACCGCTGTATGGTCTGAGAGTAAATAAACAAACGTGTGCTTTATTTTAATCTCATAGCTATAAAATTTTGATTTCAGTTAATACCTTGTCTTTGTCTCTCATTGGTGTATGTAGAGTCTGTAGCCACACATTACCCAGGGCAATCAGGGAGTAGGCATCATCCTTTGTGTTAGGACGTCCGATGATACGCTCAAATTTCTTCTGTCCGGGTCCCCACTCCTGCTTAGCTAAATGTAGATTTCCAATCAAGGACCAAGCATCTGGGTGATCCTGAAAAGGAAATTTTGTTTTAAAAAATAAGTTCAAAGATCTGAAGGCAAGAGCAAACAAGAAGTTAAGAAAATAATTATTTCTTTGTTTTAACTGACCTGATTAATCTGCAAGGCTTCTTTGAACCAATCAGATGCCTCGTAAATTTGACCTCTGTCTCGAGCCATGCATCCTAATCTCAGGTAACCTGTATCAAGAAATCAATAAAGTGATGCACCCAAAGGGAGGTAACTTGTACACTGCTTCACTTTAACGTTTAGTTTTATATATTCAATTAATAATTACTCAGATACCACTTAATATAAAAATTACAAACTTTTAATAACATTGTTCATATTATATAAGAAATTTATGTTTATTCATAAAGTGCACTGATTAAATTAAATTTTTGCACTTTTGACAAAAATTCCTTTGTCTGATATGCCAGCATTATTGAAGTATACATACAGTCAACATAGTTAGGATGGTCCCTAAGAATGCTCTTGTACAGTCGCTCGGCATCATCATACTCGTGTGTGGCCTCATACAACCTAGCCAGGTTATAGGTTGTCGTCACGGAGATAGCACTGTAGTATGTCTCGTCATGCTGAGCTTCACTACGAGATCTTTCTAGCGAAGCCTCGTAACATTTCTACAAAACAACAAAATAATACTTTAAGATGGTTACAATAGTGTATAAAATAAGATTAAAATAAGGAAGCACATTGAGACTGATCTTTGTGTCAATTAATAACATGTGCAGTCAGAGAAGTCATTCATTGGCTGTACAAATGCACCTGCAAGCTCGAGCATTTTTACAACTAACTTGTGCCAATATTCACAAATATAAGTACAATTACCCTATATTATCAATCTGACCACTCACCCTGGCCTCCTGTAGGTTTCCCAATCTAAAGTGGAGAGCTGCCACATTGTTCAGAATTTCTGGAGGAACATCAGCTTCTACTTTCTCTTTCAAGATTCTGGTGGCTGTTCCATATGCTGACAAGGCTCCCTACAAAATATCACACAAAATTTACATCCATTTCAGGAAAACATGTACGAAATGTTTGTGAATATTTGTTGAAAAAATTTAATGAGCTATAATTCATTTTTCAATTTTGTTGTTTTGTAAATTGATATTAACAAAGAATTTTCTGTGTTACATTTTTGTTTCTGTTTACCTGTACATCTTGCTGTTCCAGAATTTGAGCCAATTCTATCCATGCCTCTACATCATCTGGGAACTGTTCTGTCACTTTCTTTAAGTGTTGCTAAAATAAAAAAACCAGAAGTCTCTGTCGAGACTGAAGCTCTACTGGTTTGAACTTATAGCAAAGGAAGAGAAAGTACTTAAGCAGCTGGGATTTGAAACTTTATAAAAAGCATTAAATAGAATAATGATTGTTGATAAAGTCTCTTTATGTTCTTAGTGTAGTCTACTTGTGTGCCAAGTTATACTGAAATCAGACCAAAACTGTAGGAGGAGTAGCATTTTGAAACAATTTTACAGACATTTCTATTTTTAGTAACCACGGCAACACCGTTCATCAAAATTAAAATTCAATAAACAGAATTATGTATCTTAGAGTATTCTACTTGTGTGCCAAGTTATATTGAAATCAGACCAAATCTATAGGAGGAGTAGCATTTTGAAACAATTTTACAGATATTTCTATTTTTAGTAACACGACAACACCATTCATTGAAATCAAAAACCGATATACAGAATTATGTATCTTAGTGTAGTCTACTTGTTTGCCAACTTATACTGAAATCAGACCAAAACTGTAGGAGGAGTAGCATTTTGAAAGAATTTCAAAGAAATTTCTTTTTTTAGTAACCATGGCAACACCCTTCATCGAAATCAAAAACCGATGCACAGAATTATGTATCTTAGTGTAGTCTACTTGTGTGCCAAGTTATACTGAAATCAGACCAAAACTGTAGGAGGAGTAGCATTTTGAAAGAATTTTACAGAAATTTCTATTTTTAGTAACCACGGCAACACTGTTCATCGAAATCAAAAACCGATACACAGAATTATGTAACTTAGTGTATTCTACATGTGTGCCAAGTAATACTGAAATCAGACCAAAACTGTAGGAGGAGTAGCATTTTGAAAGAATTTCACAGAATTTTCTATTTTTAGTAACCACGGCAACACCGTTCATCGAAATCAAAAACCGATACACAGAATTATGTATCTTAGTGTATTCTACTTGTTTGCCGACTTATACTGAAATCAGATCAAAACTGTAGGAGGAGTAGCATTTTGAAAGAATTTCACAAAAATTTCTATTTTTAGTAACCACGGCAACACCATTCATCAAAATCAAAAACCGATACACAGAATTATGTATCTTAGTGTAGTCTACTTGTGTGCCAAGTTATACTGAAATCAGACCAAAACTGTAGGAGGAGTAGCATTTTGAATGAATTTCACAGAAATTTCTATTTTTAGTAACCACGGCAACACCGTTCATCGAAATCAAAAACCGATACACAGAATTATGTATCTTAGTGTAGTCTACTTGTGTGCCAAGTTATATTGAAATTAGACCAAAACTGTAGGAGGAGTAGCATTTTGAAAAATTGTTTACAGACAGACGGACAGACGGACAGACAGACGGACAGACGGACGGACGCCGGACGCATTACTATCGCATAAGCTCTTCTGGTCTCTGACCAGTAGTGCTAATAAAAAATTAAGATAAGAAATATTTTGTTGACATCCTCCAAAAAAATCTTTATGAAAATTTAGAAATCAAAGTTGCAAACAAAAAATGACTTTCATATACTGTAAATCACTTTTTATTCGCGAGAACTTTATTTTCGCGTAATTACACCAGACAGCGTGCTCGCGAAAATTTAATTCTCGCATATAAAAGCATTCCTTAAGATTATATAGAGCAATAACCACAATTCGTGAAAATTTTGTCTCGCTAATCAAGAGTCAACGACTATCTCATGAAAAAAAGGTATCGCGAAAATTTAGTGATCTACAGTACTTGTAATGAAACTCACTTTGGCTATGTCTCTTTTAGCAGGATCAGATGAGTTGGCATACAGTGAACCAAGGATCTTCATTGTTTCATAATTCCCAGACTGGGCCTTCAGCACCTTCTCAAAGCATGTGGCTGCCTGTAGGAAAATGTGACGATTAAAGTGGGCATTCATACAATAACACAATACCAAATACTGATACAACAAACTACAAGTAGCATGGAAGCTTGAGTTAATTTGTTCCGTAGGATAACTTACATTTTCATTATCTCCTCTGTAGATGTACATTTGACCCAGACCAAAGAATGGCAGCACAAAGTTAGCAGGAGCAAACTGTGTAGACTGGTAGTAATACTGAAAGGCTTGGTCATAGTCTTGCTGTAAAATAAACAAATCAGATACATGTATATTACAACATATCCTGATCATTCATTAATAATTCTGAATAAATTAAAATATCATTTTACTCTGAGAATTTTTTTGGTCTTTTTACCTGAACATGGAAGGCTCGAGCGAGTTGGTAGCAGCTTTCAGCTCTCATGCCTTCGTTCTCTGTGTTGTGGAAAGAGTGAAGGGCCAGATGTTGTACTTTTTGGTAATCCTATGGGTAAAAAATAAAGCTTAACTACATACAATTTAACTTTATCAATATATAACAGCAGTCTTTTGATTTAATGACTGAATATCAATACTGTATACAGGGTTTTTTTCTGTGTTATTTTCGCCCCTTTACACTTGCTAACAATTTTGCCCCGGTTTAAAATTACCCAGTCACAGTTCTGTTTAAGAATTTATACCGAGTTCTTTGAATTCGCCCTGTTTTAAATTCGCCCACTTTTGATAAGGGCGAAAATAAAATAGGGGCGAAATTTTCCCTGTATATAGTACTTGACTTCTGTTTGTTCCTTCATGTGGTTTCAATCAACAAAATATCTAGTCATGTCAAATTTGTGTTATGATGTGCTATTATCAATTTGAAAAAAGCTACCTTTTTGTAGAAGAAGTGGTTGGCAAGATGGTTAAGAATCATGGGGTTGGTGGAGTCTATGGTATATGCCTTGGACAGTAACTGGACACCATTCTTGATAGAATCCTGGGTTTTGGAGTTCAGTTCTAGGATAGCAAGTCCAATCAATGCCCCCACACACTGTGGGTCTAACTGTAAGGCTCGCTCAAAGGCCATCCTATAAACATATACAAACAGATATGTTTTAAATGAACATTAGTACAGAAGCTTTATTTTTCATCAGAGAATTTGGATATTCAGTTTGAGGCAAAGAACCAAATCATCTTCAATTCATTTTTTATAATAGTTGAACCAGTTGAGAACTTTGAAACTTAAAAACATAATTCATGCTTTTGAATTTGCCCAGTTTAAGTACTCTGATCTAAAACATTAAAAAATTATTTTTCATTCATTCCCGCCAACCTGGCTTTTTCCTGGCGATTAAGTTTGACAAAGCAGTGACCCAGACCCAGCCGGACCGAGGCGGGGCAGTTATGGTTGGTTTTCAGGGCCTTCTTGTAGTAGGCTAGGGCCCCACGATAATCCTTCTTATTGAAGGCAATACAGGCCTTTCCTAGCAGTGAGGGGATATTATTGTTTGCCTAAAACAAAAAGGATGAAATATTAACATTAGATTTTATTTATTGTACACGCTAGTATTTGTCATGTACAGCAACATTACACATCAGCAAGAAGAGAGACAACTGCATGTAAGAGTATATACTGGAAATTTTCAGGTCAAATTCAAAATATTCTGATTCAGAAACATTTGTGCACAACTCTATAATTGGCATTAATGAAAATGAAAAATGAATCTTCATAACTGAATCCCTTATTAAAAGTCAACATGTATTTTCTTTGTTACAGGAAAAAAACAATTTTTTTTAGCCTTACCTGACCCAACACGAAGTTAAACTGTGCGTCAGCCTGGTCCATTTTGTCTCCTTCCAAAAGACAAAAGTAGGCACGGCCCAGCAAGTGATTCTACAATAGAAATTAAAGATGCCATGCTCAACAGAGAGTACACACTAAGTGAGAAAAACCTTGTAATAAATAATTACTGAAAGTTATGATCCTTAATACAATTCTATGGTGGGGTGTATTTGGAATTAGTTCCTACAATTTTGCTTTGAATGACATTGTTATGTTACTTCTAAAGAATTGATCAGCATGATCGAAATACAGAAGTTTCCACAATTTTTGATTTTACATGCTTTTTACATACTTCTTCCTTACCTGGTCGTACATAATGATTCTATCAGCTGTTGTGTACAGTAAGGTAGCCTGTGTGAACAGTTCCCTTTTCTTATCTTTATTCTTCTCTTTATGGCCTTTCTGGACATAGTAGGCAGCCAGGGTGTCCAGAGCTCGCATCTGATCTCGCTCAAAGTTAGGGTAGTCCAACCCCGCATCTGTTCTGGAGGCATCCAGAATCTTGACAAAGTCTTGGACATAATTCTGTTTGTAATACTCCAACTACAAAACATAAGGTTATTTACAGAAAGGGTTTACAAGTAGATCTGCTGTCATCAGTTTTATACATATAATACATCACTGTATTGACACTTTGGGTATCTTAAACATTAAAATCATAAATACATGTACCATGTATTCTTAAGTGAGTTGAAAGTTATAATCTTCATCTTTTATATTTTAACCTGGTTATTAAACCCTTGTTAGTGGGTATCTTGAACATCAAAATGATGTGGAAATTTCTCAGTGAGTTGTGGGTCCCACAAACTTTCTTAGTTTCTATATTTTAAAGCTTATTTATGTTAATTATTTTAACACTCAGACATCTTGAAAGTTTCTTTTTCTCAGCCCTACTAAGTTCAGGGCAATGACAATTGATGGACAGAGTTTCAGAATTTTTCAATATATTCAGTGGGGTTGGGATCGGGATTGGGGGGAACAAATACTCACTGCCAATGTGACCCAGATATGAAGCGGTGCTACTTCCTGTCTGAGGATACTGAGTACTTCTTCTCCTTCAGGCAGCTGATCCAGATCCAACTCAATCACCTAAAGACAAATCTCAGGTTAATCAGTCTTAGTCCAGTCACAGAAAATGTACACAGTAAACCATGGTTACAGCTTTTACACTTGATTAAACACTTCGCTGTTAGCATGAATATATTCTCTGTATTAATATAACATTAAAAATACATGGATTTCCCTCAAACTCTTCAAATATAAGAAATATTTGGTTGAGGATATGGAACATGACAGAGGTTAGGTTTAGCAAGCCCTCTATCAACATGATCAAGTTCTTAATTCCAGTCCAAATACTGCTTAGGTTATTAACAAAAATGCAGTGATTTTTTTCCATCCATTGGGAAAGGGTCCGGTACCGGTTCAATTGGGAAAAATAACATTGCAGAAAAACAAAGGAGAATTTTCTCTCATTTTCTCTCAAATGGAACGTCATTTGCGTTTATTCCAACTTAATTACCTATTACTCCTTGTTTTAAAGAATAAGCAACAAGTACTTGTTTTTTATATCAAAGTCCCATGTTTTTACATTTTCATGCTTTCAATTTGTCAAAATGTATGACACTACGCTGTCTAAATCACAGGTTCCGCCAAATTAAGACTTTCTCTACTTTCGATTTGAGCAGAAGTGAAACAATTAGTCAACTTGTACAATGTTTCATTTAACAAGAAATATGATGTCGTCGTAGTCTGTTGCTTCACAGTTTAATTGGGAATTTTTCGTCACAGAATTGGGAAACATTAACATATTTTGGCATTGGGAATGGTGCCGTTTATCGGTACCAGTTATATAAGGGGAAAAAACGCTGAAACGGTTATGTTTTTGTTTATATCCTGCAACATAGTGCTACCTTTACCTCCCAAAATAAGCTATATAAACTTAATTTTGGCATGCCTCTTCAGTTGAATCTATGATGTCCTATAAATAATTAGGGGTGGGATGATACACACATCTTATGATACGATACGTATCTCGATACATTTGCATGATACGATACATGTCTCGATATTATGATAAATTATAAAACTATTCAAAAGAATTAGTATTTTATTTCTTTTTTTGTTTGTTGACATTACATCAACAAATTATTCTATATCAAATCATGTTTGCTTTGAAACTAATACTTGAAGTTCATCAATTTCATTGACTAAAACGTTACGAAAACAATAATACATGTACATACTATTATTACCAAATTACTATTCAGAAGTTGTTTACAGATAGTTGTGTAGTTCATCAGAGAACACTGACTAAAAATTCATTTAAAAACATCGATCACATTTACATTATTATCAATTCATTGCTGAAAGTCTGAAGCCAAGTTGAGATTACAAAAAAAAGTACGAGACAGACTAACAATTAATAATATCAAATGCTCTGGAAACGATATTTTCTGTGTATAGCACACATTACATACTGAACTTTTCTTGTCCAATCTTCCGAGGCTGCTTAATAGTGAAAACGTTTTACCCCTAACCAACGACTTATTAGTTCTAAAGTGTGTTTTCAAAATCAACATCATCTCTTCGCTTCGTACAAGCCGCCATTTTCTAAGGACAGGTACTTTCATTTTCAATTTTTGGATAGGTCGTTCGTGTATCGTTTTGTACCAATATTTGAATGCTTGTGTCGTAAACCGTATCTTGGAGGAAAATATCGGTATGTATCGGTATATCGTCCCACCCCTATAAATAATGCAAAATTTAAGATGCCAATGTACATTGCTATATTTCAGCATTTATGGTATATAGCACAGGCACCTGAATTTTTATCAGTAAGTCGCTAAATAAGCCATATATCGATAAATTCTACCCCCTCTATATATAAATACACAAGGTGTGCAACGCCATTTTGACCCCCTCCTCGATTCAGGCTTGAATTTAACACATAAATTGGATATGCCTACCGGTTTCCGTGTAGCATTGGGTTCAAATATGATATTTCTCGCTATACATTTCTTCCGAAAGTTTAAATCCAACGCGTTGATAATGCTAACAACTAAAATTCAAGCAAACTTCGAATTTCGTTCCAAGGCCCGATCGCCATCAGCTGACGTCACGGAAATCTAATCTCGACGCCAAATGCTCTAAAATATAAACTTTTTAATACAGCAATTGTAGATTTAATTTATTGACAAACAAAAATAGGAAATAATAAAATATCAAAGGATTATATTGTTTGTTATACTTGATTTTATTTAACATATGTTTGATTAATTTATGTATTAGAGCATTTGGTGTAGAGATTAAATTTCCGTGACGTCAGCTGATGGCGATCGGGCCTTGGGACGAAATTCGAAGTTTGCTTGAATTTTAGTTGTTAGCATTATCAACGCGTCGGATTTAAACTTTAGGAAGAAATGTTTAGCGAGAAATATCATATTTGAACCCAATGCTACACGCAAACCGGTAGGCATATCCAATTTATGTGTTGAATTCAAGCCTGAATCGAGGAGGGGGTCAAAATGGCGTTGCACACCTTGTGTATTTATATATAGAGGGGGTAGAATTTTTCGATATATGGCTTATTTAGCGACTTATTGATAAAAATTCAGGTGCCTGTGTATATAGCTTTGGTTTACTCATTATTATGATACCTTTATTTTATCAATTCAGTTGGTTGTTGCAAGATAACATGAATTATGGATACCCAAAACAAATCAAAATGGTTTAACTGTTTATCCATAAATTAGAAATTCGCTATATGCGTGTTTTACTGTATAAATTTTAATGTGCGCTTTCCTGTTGAATGTTCATGAAGAAAAACCTAAAATTCAGAATAAAATTTTGAAAACTGTCAAATCATATGTTATAACAGCGAAAACATGACAAGTAGATGATTTTTTTTCTACAAATGCGTGCAAACATTTGGCGAGACATCGGGTTCACATTTTGCCTCCAAATCAATTGTGTATTGTGTTGTAGATGTGTGGTTACAAAAGCTATTGTCAGCCACAAATTTAGAAGAAAGTTGTAAGTAAACATTGTTAGTAAAAGCTTACCTCATCGGTATCCCGAAGAGGGATCTCTATTGAACCAGACATGGTTTTAGAAATCACACTCTTTCCCCGGAATCCTCCACTCGCTTTGCAAACTTCCGGTTTAATGGTATACCAATCCCGATCAAAATAATATCCTCGATGTCAATGAGGACGATTTCATTTTTTTCTGGAATAAAGACTAAAACAGACTTACAGTATTTCAAAATTTCATGGCCGTGGGAACCAGGGGATGGGGGTGGCAAAAGACATGTGATTATAAGGCCTACTGCAGAGGCATAATTAAATGGGGTCTAATTTTTACTTGTTGTTTTAAAAAAGCTTCATTCTTGGAAATATAGAAAAACATAGTGTCTTTGGAATAACACATTCACTAAATAAATGTTGAAATAAAATTTCCTGGGCAGCACAGGTGCTTGGGGACAGAAGTTCTAGCATGGCCAGCTGGCGGGAACTAGGTTATGACTCCTCCAACCTTTTGACGTCACAAGTACGTCAACTTTGTTTTGGCTATGTTATGGACATGGTTAGCGACTATTTATCTTATGTAAGGTTCTAAAATAATTGAGAGGTAAGTAAAAATAATTATTTTACTTTTTTAACAACTAGCACAGCTTTATCATTACCGAAGTTATTTTCCAGAAATAAAAGTTAAAATTCTCAGCACTGGATAATATTTACGTTTGTTTTAAGATGTTAAGTAAGAGTATGCAGTATTTCGCTTCCAAAATAATTAAAAATGTTAATGCCCATAACGCAAAAACACTCCTAAATGACCCTTACGGAAGTTAAATTTTTAAGAGGGACAATTCAATTTGTTTATGTCGAAAATGTAATTGTTTAAAGTAACTGCTTCTCAACTAAAATTGATGATATTAGGTTTTATGGTCACTTTCAGGTACGTTTCAATTCTTTGTAAAATCTGCACTCTGTTCCTGCAATTAAAAAGCAAAATCGCTAAGTTAATTGATTTTAGCTAAGATTTCAGGTATAAGATTGATTGATTGTATGTTGTTGAACGTCCCTCTCGAGAATTTTTCACTCATATAGAGACGCGACCACTTGCCGGTGGAGAGCTGCAAATATTGTCCTATACTCGGTACTCATGGCCATTTAACAGGGAGGGATCTTTTTCGTGCCAGCACCTACTGCGACACGGGACCTCGATTTATATGGTTTCATCCAAAGGACCGGTCTCTACGGCCCACACTGGGATTTGAATCCGCGACGTAAGGATCAACTCCTTACTTCGCGACTCTAGAGCCTGAAAGAAGATACACGCATTTCTTCGCGAGAAGTGGTTTGTTTTCTTTTTTGTAGGGAAAACTTTTCTTTTACGTTCCTTGCAATCTTCCCAGAACGCCTTTACGGCTGAAAATAAATTTCGTCTTGAAATTTCTGAAATTTTTATGAATGAAGGATTTTTTTTAAACAATTTATACTGTGCTAATTTAGAAACTTTAACTGCAAATATGTAACTAAATATTCACAAATCCATTTGTCTGTTTTGATTTTAAAGTCGAAATCGATCTCGATCTTTCAAATTATAAGTTAAGATATTACAAAGGTAAATTTGTAAGCGTCATCAAAAATGGTTATTGGGCATGTTTTTGTAGATTATTTAACAACAAAGAAATTAAGATTAAAGAATAACTCATGATCATGTTACCCAAATGGTATTTCTATAAGTTTCTAAGGAGACCACTAAAGATTTTCAATGGAGGAGCAATTCTTAAACTAGAGTTAATAATAAGTTTACAATTGTAATAAAAATTTAAATGTGAGTGTTCAGTTTTTCATTTATAGCGGATCCGAAGCCAAAAAAACATAAATGTGGCGGGAAATAGTCTATGACACTTCCAGCCTTATGACATCACAAGTCAATCAACAATCAACTTTGTGATATGAACGTTATAAACAGACTAATTTTCTAATATACTGAAAAGGATTTAGGTGACAAAAGAGGTAAGCAAAAAATGATTTTACTTTTTTAGCCAGCATTTAGGACCTAGCTTTACGTGAAGTCCTTGGCGATGACGTCATGCTTGGTAACTGCTAGGTAACTGCTAGGTAGCGTTGCGTTTTGGTTACTGTTGTTAGTTACTCACTTCGATCAGCTGCGAGTAGACGTGTTTTTCACAGAGCGACAAAAATCACAAATATCACTATGAAAAGACAAAGATCTTCCGAGAGAAAGAGCCAGAGTGTGTCTAAGAGGGTAATTCTTCTGGAAATAAAATTTTATTGGTCTTTAATGCTTGTTTTTATGAGATTCAGCACTGAACAATTTTGATGTATGCCCATACAATGAAAAGGGGGTATGCCTAATGGAATCTACTTTGCACATTTCTTTGTTTTTAGCTATGTTTTAAACAGAAGAGGTTTATTTTAAAATTTCAATGGAGTAAAAATGTTAAGAAAAATATAGGCCTACATTTGATTTAGAGTTTGAAAAAAGAAAAAAAAACAAACATTTAAGCTAACATATGAAAGTACTAGGACCTAGGCCCCAGGCCTCCATACACCTTCGGTGCTTATGATATAAATCGGGGATGGGGTGGGGTGTAAGTCATGACAGAGAATATAGGAGACCATTTAATATAAGCTCTACTTATAATTGTTAAATAATACAAATGGATTGTGTTTAAAAAGTTAACAAATACCACAACAAAGAGGAAATGCGGTATGGCCTTTGACATTACACAAATCTCTTGCGGAGTTTTCTTCAAAATCTCTCATTTTTCTGTTGCACTCAATATAGGGCCAAGTTTTCATATGATCACTTACTTCGTTAGGTTTATCGTTGGCTATAACCTTTATAAGAGACATGCAGGCCTCTGCCTTTAAAAAATCGAAACCTCATCTGTAAATAAACAAAGGGAGCACACTCTAAAGCAATCGTATTATGAGTTGTCCCCCTTTAACATTGAAACATTTGATTTGTACAATAAGAAAAATTGTATGAATTTTTCTAGACGCTTTCAGTCGTTGAGTTTCAATGAAACTTTAAAAAAAGGAAAAATGGCCCAAATATATCACTTTTGTTTTTAAATTAACATATTTTTTTTTTCAGTAATTCTTATTTCCTTCTTCTTTATCAATTGAATCCTGGGAAATAAAAGAAAAATAAATCATCCACACACATCAATATTGCTTTAAAAAAAATCATCAATAATTTCTTGTTAATATACTCCTGCAACTTTTGACCAAACTTCTATTTCTGCCTATCGGGTATGTTGTAAATGAGTCGGCACTATCACAGCATGTTGAAATGAAAGTGCAACTGTAGGTCATTAAGTTTTCGAAACAGAGAAATAAATACAGTAATCCAAGAAAGATATTGTTTGCAGTTCAAATTGAAAAAAAAGATGGAACATTGGCTCGTTTTCCTTGAAGTAAAGCTTTTTTGAAACAGTTTTTAAAAAAAAAAAATGCTTTTCAACTGTTTAAATATAAGCTGATGTACAGTCACTGTACTTGATCAAAATATATACATGTATTAATTAATTTATACAAATGCATCATTTTAATATGTATATTATTAAATAAATTTAACTTTCCATTCTTTAAATAAAGCTTTATCTTTTTTATTTAAAAAGCGCCGTATAGACGTCTCTTCAGATGACAGTCGTCAGTGGTACGAGGTGATGCTTGCCCTGGCGGCCAAATCAGCTGTAAGTCTCTCTCTCTCCTCTCTCTCTCTCTCCTTGTCCTTTCAGTAAATATCTATAGCTTCTGTCTTCTCTCTCCAGTGAATACTCTCTATAATCTCTATCCTTTCTCTCCAGTGCAAACAAGTCTTTACTTCTGCTGCTCACGAGTGGAGAGAGCACATTAAAGACTGGGTAAGAGTCTTGCGGGATTAAAACAAATACAAAACATCAACATATTTATCTCTATGGGTTCAGTTGATGTTTGTTTATATATGCTCATTTATTGATTATTGATTATATACATGGATTTGTTTAATATAAATATTTTCTGTTTTACTAGTATGAGTTGACCCATGCCATCAACAAGTCTGAGGAGCGTAGGGAGCTACCCACCATACCTCAACCTACGCATCAGGTACGTGCCGCATGCACATTGTTCGAATTAGTACATGTACTTACTTTGCACTTACGGGGGGACCTTTAACATGATGTATCTTTTGAAGATTATACGTCTTGTTTAACCACAAAAAAATTCTTACAGATGGAGTGGTTGGCTAGAGTTAATTTTAAACACAGACCCATGCGCCGCAACATACCAGAACAGAGACGTCATAAAGTCTCTAAGAAACAAGACCTGAATTCTTCCTTTTACGTCTACTAAAGAGGAGGAGGATTTTGGTGAGTGAAACCATCGGAAACCTGTATATTGGATATATGATTAAAGATCTTTATATTCTTTAACAGGGAGGACTTTTATATGTATAGGCTATGCCTGTTGCCCTATCAATAAAAATGTTCAGATCTACTTTATACTTTTCTGCAAGTATTTCTTTTAAAATATACCACACTGCAAGTCTTTAACAGAAAGTTGCATAACGTACCGTGAACTCCTTCATTTTGGGTTTTTTTCTCTCTCGTTGTTTTCATGCCATGAAGAGACCATGAATTCATCCCCCCTCTTGAAAGTGTTTTTTTTTATATTTCATGTTTTTCACCAACAATGAAGTAAAATATTTACAACAACCAACCAACCCCCCCTCCCCCCCCCCCCCCCGATAAAAAATGGATGCTTGATTTCCCTTTCTTAACTGTAAAGTTTGATAACTTTTCTAAACCGTATGTATGCTCTGTCAAATATTGATACAATTTTCCAATTTCTTGTAGGTATGGGACAGATACTAGTAGTTTGCAAGAATCTGAGACATTCTGACTGCCACAACCATCACAGTACCGTGCACTGTCTGTACTTGTATTTTGTGTACCACACACTTTCTATGGACCCAAGTGCCTGACTTTAAAAAGTGCTATTTTAATGACCATCTCAGTGTTAACGCCACAGCCATCATAGTGCCACACACTGACAGTGCTTGAATTTTGTGCATCACGTACACACCCTTTTTGGACCCATATGTGTTTGACTACACATGGTGTGTTTCATAACTTTTACAGTGCCACTGTGGTCCTGAAGGTCCTTCTGCATTGCATTTTATCAGGCGCTGCGTGTGACTATGCATAGACTTTGTTAAATAAGACATTTGCTGCATGTTTAGCAGATGTATTAATTTTCTTATCTGGCAAAGTTTTATTTGCCTTTATGTTTAAAGACTCGCCATTATTTTTTATTTTTTATTATTTCTTTTGTTATATACTACTTGCATGTTACTTTTGTTGTTGTTTTAATATACTTTAAACAGATGAGTTTGCCTTGAAGTTACTTTTCATCATCATCATCGTCGTCCTTTATACATCCTGTGGTATGTTGGACGGCAACAGATCTCCTCCACTTTTGTCTATTCTGGACCATCCTAGTTGATCCCCATGTTTGGTGCATGGTTTTCACTTTTCACCGTCCTTCTCCTAGATGGTCTGGTCTCCCTCTCCTTCTTTTGCTCTCTTTGGCCATTGGGTCTAGTGCAGTGCTGTTCTTGTTGTTGGATGAGGATCTCTTTGAGGAACATGTCCTATCCATCTCCATCGGAGTTTGGCAATGATGGTATAATCGTCCTCTTGATCGCATCAGCTCAAATGCAGGTCTTCATTTGTAACCTTCTGGGGCCAGAATATCCTAGTACAATTCTCTGTTATTCTTTGACTTTCAGTAAGGCGTGGTATTCTCGATGTTACATAATAACCGTCTGAAATTTACACAGTCTTTCATTCACTGTTGAAATATACATGGGATAGAAATTCGGAAAATGTCAACGAGTGTAGCAAGGATCCAATGATAGCGTTTTGTAAGTTAAAGAGGTGGGGCTTAAGTCGACTCATCGTTGTCAACAACAAAGTTGCTGATGTTATTAATTTCTTACCAATGAGAATCTATTCGCCATTTGATAGACGCTAATTACGTAACGTCGAGAATGCCACTCCTTATTGAAAGTCGAGGGATGGCAGAGAAATGTACTACTAGTAAGTACAGAGTATTCGGCGGAGGCCTGTGGTGTGGAAGGATCGCAATTTGCTAAGACCTGTCTGTTATTCTCCAGCATTCTAATTAATATAGGAAATTGATACAAAACAGCTCTGATAAAGCTTCAGCTTGGTGCTGTACTGTGCAGACCTCCAGATGTTATTCATTTCTCGAGCTCTAAATACGAGTTCTCTCCTGGCCTTGTCCAGTCTGCTGTGGATATTCTCCTTTGTGTCACCCTCAGCAAATATATGTCATGCACATCATAAAATCAGACGATGTAAGATTGAAGGTTAAACGAAAGATAGATAAAAAGAAGGGTAAAGTAAAATTCGATCTGCAACTTACTAGTCCAATAGGAGATTTTATGATTTCTCCTTATTTGTCCTTCTGTTTGCTTGTCACTCTTCAGCATTTTCCCCCAAATGCTTTATGATACTGAGGTGATTCTTCGTATGCGAGTCTTTCTTATCAGATAATTATGTCAATTTGTCAGACCTTTTTGTTGTCACTTTCACATGTTAAAAATTCAACATGGCCATTTATGCCATCAACATATTTTTCTGACAAGTCGACATAAGTATCTGGCAAGTCAACATAAAGATCTGACAAGTCGACATATTATTTGACAAGTCAAAATCTTTTTCTGATAAGTCGATATAACATCTGACAAGCCAACTAGTCAGAAAATTACGTGGACTTCTCAGATAATGATAATTACGGAAGCGTAAATGGCTCTACACTTGTTGTGTTATAACTTTGTATATTGTCTTATATTTTATCGACTTATCAACATATAAAGTGTTATACCTCCTTATTTATGCACATATTTTAAATTGTATTAAGATTTCTTAACATAATTGAAGGCAACTTCTTTTGTTTAATAGATTTTATTGCTTTAAGTTTTATCGACTGAAATATTAATATATTGATTTTTAGATATTGATCGAAACAAGATATTTAATCATAATGATATAGTATTGTTGATATGATAAAATAAAGTTATACAGATTTTAATTTATGAATATTTGCGATAGAGAAGTTAGAATAAAGTGTTTTTGAATTATTTTGGCGGGGGCGGGAATTCCAATGAACCTTCACTTCACTCGGAATTTAGTGAAAGCTTACATTGTATGCATCATGTCAGCATGTACGATTAAAGGCTGAATCAAATTAAAAAGTATATTGAAAAAGGGAGATGGCGACACATTAAAAATTATAGATCCATAGGGGGCTAATGCACCGATCACCACTTTTGAATAGGGGGAGTATCTTTGTGCCCCTCATCCAGCTTTTAAAAAACCCCAAAAACGGAGTACAGCAGATATCCACTAATATATCCCTAAATTTAAGAAAATTATCGCAGTTAGATTATTAAATCCCTGGGGGAGTTTTTCTTGTTATATATTTATTTTGGCTGACACTACACTTTCTTCCTTTAAACTTGGTGATTAAGCTTATACAGATTGACTGAAAGTACAAATTATGTAAAGCAATAAGAAGTTAGATCTGATGTTTATATTTTTATGCAGGGGGAGGGGGGAGGTTTCAAGACTGGAGGTCCCCATTCATGAGTCAGATCCCATGTATACCTCAGAGTGGAACAGCATCAAATATTTACAAAGTACATATATAATCAGTTTTACTTTTATAGCAGTGTTACTTTCTATTTTCGCTTCATTAGCGATTTACAATCCCCACTGAACTCAAGAGATATAAGCAGTGAACCATGATAGAATATATCAGATTCCCTCTTCAAAATGATGGGTACAAATATTTCCTATGACAATGCATATTATTTAACTGTTGGTGTATCTCCATCTCCATTTTTCAAATATTTTTGAATTTTGTTTCAGCCTATAATCGTACAAGATAGCAAATACATGGTACATAAGCTTCCCAAGTAAAGATTAATTAGAATTCCCGCTTCCGTCAAATTAATTCAAAAACACCTTTTCTGACTTCTCGAAAATATCCATATATCTATATCGACATAACTTCATATTTATTTCTTCATATCGACAATTACTATATTGACATGATTAAATATCGATATTTGAAAATTAATATAATATTTCAGTCGATAAAAGTTAAAGCAATAAAATCTATTGACAAAAGAAGTTGCCTTCAATTATGTAAATACATCTCAATACAATTCAAAATATGTGCATAAATAAGGAGATATTACACTTTATGTGTTGATAAGTCGATAAAATATAAGACAATATACAAGGTTATAACACAAGTGTAAAGCCATTTACGCTTCGCTATGGCTGTGATGGTTTTTGTTTCTGACGATAAAATTACCTAACAAGTTGACATAAAAATCTGACAAGTCAACGTAAAACAACCAAGTCAAGATACACAATTGAAAAGTCAACATAAACATCTGGCAGATGATGGCAGAAATATGCCACCATACTATCTTAATGCTTGTATTTGTTTATCGTCCCTGTCGGGAATTTTTCACTCAAATGGAGACCCCACAACTTGACGGTGCAAATTTTGTCTTATGCTCGGCACATCGAGCCATTAAGCAGCGAGGGATCTTTTTCGTGCCTGCACCTACTGCGACACGGGAGATCAGTTTAAACGGTCTCATTCGAAGGACCAGTCTCCACGTCCCACAATGGGATTGGAAACCGAGACCTAAGGATCAGGCTACATGATATACAAATAAGATTGATGCAAAGCATCAAATCGGTCGCAAACAAAACTGAGGATTTCAAAAAAGTACTTTCACAATTTTAAAAGCATACATACAAAGAAAGCAAAAGATATTCAAAGCTGGCGTAGTGATCATTTTTATTTCAGTATGACCTCAATATTCAGTTGTACCGGGCCAGCGGGCTACCGTTAGTGTCGAACCCTGCTGACTTCAAAGACAGACTGTGTGTGATTTGAACAAACTTGAATTTACACCTGCTGAGGATGCTTCAATATTTCTTTGACTATAGATGCCTTAAATTTTTTTTTAAAGATTATACCATAAAGTTATTTCTCTGTCCCTCCCTGGATTTTTTTTATTGTTTTGAACAATCTTGAATCTACACTATCTTAAGATGCTTCTCTATTAGTTTGACAAATAGTGGCTTTGTTGTTCTCGAGAAAAGGATTTTTGATGTTTTTTTTTTTACATACCACCGGTATATATTCCTTTGTAAAACTTTGATCCCTAGGCTGGTCATTGTGACCAGACTTTACCCAACACAAAAAATAACATTCTCTCTACACGAAGAATGCTCAGTCTTGCTGTTCTTGAGAATAAAATTTTTAAAGATTTTTTTTCTCTATGTTTAAATTTGTGAAACTGTGATCCCCCCTGGGGTCATGTTCTAACAAATATGAATCTTTACTACCTAAGGATACTTCTGTATAAATATGACTTATCATGGCTTTGTTCATCGGTAACATACGGGTGCTTTTCATCGCCTTTTTCTATCTTCTCCATCAAGAGGGAGCCTGAGAACTCAAAACCGCCGTTTGCGACGATAGACTTTGCTGTACTGAGAAGATATTTGAAGATCTTTTTATTCCTTTGTAAAAATTAGGTCGTCCATTGTGGCCCCACCTAACCCCAGGGGACACGATTTGAACAAACTTCATCTACACTACCTGAGGATGCTTCCTTATGAATATAACCAATCATGGCTTTGCTGTTCTTGAGAAGTGTTTTAAAGATTTCCCCTTTGTAAAACTTTGATCGCTCATAGCAGCCCCCCTTTACTTCAGGGGTCGTGATTTATAAGTTTGGATAGATTTGAATCTATACAACGTAAGGATTCTGTCCTTAAGTTTTACCCTAAATTGTTATTTTCCGATCATGACAAGTTGTGTGACCGGTTGGCAGGGGACACTCACTCCTCCATTGCATCTGATCCCACCTCTGATGTTTCAGGTTTCAAAGGTGTTTGCTCTGCTCCAAATATTGTATTGTAGTGGGCGGAGACTATTGAAATTGACACGGGAGAGCTCGTGAAATTTAATCTATTAGACAACATTTTCAAAATCTAAACTTACAATTTTATTTCACAATGATATGAAATTGTAAGGAATCACTGTCTAATTTGTTGGATATGCCAGGGCATCAACGATAGTTGGAAACATTGGATTATTTGCATAACGGGCGAAGCATAACTAGATGGTTATTCCTTAATTAAAATATTTCATGAAAACAAGCCTTTTCGGAGAAGAAAATCTCGGCAAAATTTACTCTTTTTTAATAATATCTATTCATAGGATTCGAACGCTAGCAATGAAAATCCCGAATATCATTTTGC